AGTTATAATAAAGGCCTCCAAGATAAGTATACATCAAGTAAAGAGGCTCAAAGGTGTATCGAAGAATAAAAATTCTACATGACAAAATTTGCACAAGCCACAAAAATTGATTTCGGGTCAACCGGGTCAACCGATTATATCGGGTCAACTGACTAACCCGGTTGATCTGATATAGTTGGTTGACCTGATTATCGGGTCAACTGACTATATCGGGTCAGCCGGGTCAACCGATTATCGGATTAACCGGTTAAGCATTTACTTAACTGGCTCACCCGAATTTTTTCGGGTCAGTTTGGTTACCCGATTATAGCCTAACCGGTTCAAATTACTAGTTATACAAGTTTAATAATAGTAAAATAATTGTCATTTTATATCTATTTTATATAAATTACATATACTTCAATTAAACACGTCAAAGTTTTAATAATAAGTTTTCTTAAATAATTATACCTGCTGAGATCTTAACTTTTATTTGAACTTAGAATATATAAAAGTAAGTGTTTAATTATATAAAAGGTTTGTAGCCGTTTTATTTATTCTTAAAAACTAGATCACACATCATACTCATTATATACTATTTTATTATAAAGGAAATAAGAGGGATAAAGGTAAGATATCAGTATATATAACTCAAATCTGAATATAAGTATCTTAAAAATAGCATATACCCAATATAAAAACTAATTATAATCGAATTTGTGAACTTGCTTTTAAATAATCAGAGGCATAAGTTCCCTGAGTTCGAAGAGTTATCATTTTAGCAAATAAGGAATACTTAGAAATAAATAATTATTAGTATGAAATTAGAATTGAAATAAATTAAGACATTAATTTATTGCCAAAATCTGTTGAAATGGACATATTTAAAATAAGTACAAAGTATTTATTTATTACAAAATTTACTAATATAGTGCATACTCTAGGAATAATAATGCTAGTTGCAGTTGTCAAAGCTAAAAAAATGAATATTAGATATCTTAAATATTAGAATTGGGATTTTAGAAAATTTATTTATATTAGGTATATGTTATTGAGTTATAGAAGTTATATTTAGTTTGTATTTTTATATATAAGTATGATATAATATAATCGATTAATTTTTTATACTATTTATTTTAAAGAAATAAAATTTTATCTAAAAAGACACTAAATAGAACGTTCCAAATGCACAGAGAATTCTAGAGATAAAGCTTTACAGAAACTGTATCAGCTTTGTCCTGATCTTAATAGTCAAAGTGTCTGGTTTTTTCTAACACTCAAAAAATCTGCAAAAGAATGCATTTTGTATAAAAAATCAGAAAACCATGTTTATGTTTATAACATGATTACACAAAGACAATATCTATCTTTTTTTGTTTGGATGAAAGCACTTAGTAGCAAACGTTTTTTTAAGAGCAAAAAATCTGCTCTATCTACAATTTTTTTAAATTCTAGCTGCAATAAAATATGTATTGGTCAAATAATTAAAGGAAATGACTATGTATCTTATTTCAAAAATGCTGAGATAATTATATTAGTTTCTATCAAAAAACTCTAGCAACAATTATATATAATAATGCAGAGTTTGTGAGTATAACTCTAATAGAGAATGAAGAGTTTTTGTGGCTTATATTTTTTGACAAAGAAAATATGCAAAAAGAATTTTAACTTAAACAAGCTTATCATAAGTGTCAAGAATTTATAGAATGTTCTATTTTGGTGAATAGATTTAAAATTAATAATTCTATTTTAAAAAATAATTATATTAATATGAAAATTTCAACAATGGATGATGTTGTTTCAATAATGTGATTTTGTAACAAATCATCTGTATATGTGGGCAATATATCAAAGGTAAATTTAATTTGTATTTTTAAATTGATAGTCCTTAATAACATTATTTATAATTTATATAAGATTTGAACAGGCCACTTACTTGCGAGGAAACTATATATATTCTAATTGTTTAGAACCAAAAAACAATCATGAGATTGTAGCCAATCTGGAAAATAGAGAAACTAATAATAAGGCCTACTACAGAGTAGACTGTACTCTTTTTGTATCAGATAGGAATATATATATAAATTGTAAAACATATTGTACAAAATTAAAAAATAACATACTGATGGTGTTCAGTCTGTTAAAACGGTACATGCATCCAGAGAAAGCCTAACAGAACTTGTTCAAAATACATGAAAAGTATTTATTAAATTAAGTTTTTTATTTTTAATAATTTTATATATTAACAATTATTTTATTTTAGACGATTAAATCACAGAGTGAATTGATTAGAAAGCTTCAAGATCGCTTAAAACTAAAGTTTGAAATAGAAGAAGAGAATATATCAGAACCGCTAACTAACATTATTCATAATATAGTTGATGAAGTTAAAAATCAAAAACATGAAGATATATCAAATATAATTTTGAAGAAGCTAATTCGGGTACAAAGTGAAAAACTGAAAGGAGTACGGTATCATCTTATGTAAGTAAGAAAATCAATTGTTGTGTTTAATAAGAATTTATCTAAATTTATTAAATATATTTTATAGGTTTATTAGATGAGCAGTATTAATTTATAGCAAAGGTCCTGCTGCATACAAAGAAATGAAATCTATTATTAGGTTGCTATCATTATCAACACTCAAAAGCTATATAAATGAAACAAATCAACATACAGGTTGGCAAGACAAAGCAGTGAAGCAAATGATAGCTAGTATGGAAGCAAATAATATATAGGATTAGGCTTTTTTTTCTCACGATTCATTTAAAATACAAAAAGGTAATTAATTAATCAAAAAAAAAAAAAAACTTAACTTTTATTTATTATAGGACTATTATGAAGTTAGCATGAAAATAAATATAGAGGGGAGTCAATAGAATCCAGGCAAATTGTTTCTATATAAATTTTTTTTAGACCTTAAATTAAAATATCTCAACAACTATTAAACCAAACTTGATAGAAATTTTTTTATTTTAATTCTATTTAGTTATAGA